TGTGTCCAAGTCAGAACTTTATTGCTTTTGGCCAAGGCTGTTTGTAAGGGCAGCAAACAATTAAGGGCCACGTGAGTGGTGCAGATGGTAATTGCCTCAGCAGGTCAGAGGAGAGGGTGAGCCCTCCTTATTAGGGCCTTGAGAGTGTTACCCCCTCGGAGCCGGGGATTGCATTTATAGTCCTAACTATGCCCATGGGTGTCACATGGGTGACCTTGGCCAAAGGTCTATATTCTCTCTGGGTCTCTGTCTTCTTGTCTGTAAAATGGGAACAACTCCCTGTCCCCCAGGCCAGTATGGGATCAACAGATGAATAGATCCAAACCATCTCTGAGAATAAGTGTCACTCCTTTGCAAGGGGCTGGGGTCCACTTGTCACAGGATTTGTTCTAGGGGTTCATGCTTTTGGAATCAGGCACACCAGAGTTCAGCCTCTGATTCTGTCATTTTTTTGGCCAGGCAAGTGACGCCTCAGCGTCTGTAAAATGGGATGGATACTCCTGCCCACTGGTGAATGAGATCATTGTCTATGCCTGACAAGGGCTCCCGCACTTGATACCCATTGCGGTGGGGGTGGCCCCACATCACAAGTTCACCCAAGCTCCAGATGCTCAAGGGCCCCAGACATTCTTAACCATAAATCTTCCCAGCCACACAAGAGATCCTCATTGCCCCTATCCCTTACCATCCTGAAGCTGCCCTGTCGGGGAGGGGGCCCCAAGTCCCCAGCCGCTCCGGCCCAGATAACACACACACACCAGTGAGGACCCTGGCCTGCGGAAGCTTCCCAGATAAACACTGCCTGCCTCAGATAACCGAGGCCTATCAGCCTGTCATCTTGTTCTCCAAACCACGTTGCTGCTGATAAAGGGATTGTGTGGGGCTGCATCTGCCTGGCCCAGGTGGGAGCTTCTCACAGGTTTTTTTTCCCCCTCTCACTCTTATTAACGACAAATGTTTGGCCCCTTCCGGGACAAAGCGGTCCTCTGGCAGCCGGCCTCCCCGCTCAGCCTCCCCTCCCCTCTCTCTCTTGCATCTCTTTGCAAGAGGGCCATTTGTCCCCTTTGTTGGACTTCCACAGGAGGTGAAGGCAGCTAAGACAGGATTAGGCAGTGGCAGACGGGTAAGCTCTGTTTGGGGGTCAGCGTGGTTCTAAAGGCATGGAGTGGGGTGCCCTTGTTCTAGAGATGCCTATAATGACCAGCATTTACCGAGAGCTTATCAAGTATTAGGCATAGCTTATTGGATCCAATGGGAAAGACCTATTGTCTCCTTTGTTTGCATTTCATGTGTAGGGTAACTGAGCCTCAGAGGGTCACAGACATAACTGGTAAATAAAGCTGGAATTGAAGGCCAAGTCTGAAGGCTTCAAACCCTGTGCTCTTGCCCTGTACACCCTATTCCCAAAGTCCACCCCTGCATCTGGCCATTTCTGGAGCTTAGAGAGGAAACAGGTGGCTGTTCTCCTCAGCACAAGCAGAAAAATCTGAGCCACAACTGGAGTCTAGCTTTGGGCCAGGGAAATCTGGGCCTGAAGGAGTCTTTCTGGTCCCCCAGCCATAGGGTCTTCACATCTTGGGACTGAAACAGCCTTGGAGGTCATCCAGAGCAAGGATCTCCCAGGATGGATGGGAAGGCAGAAGCAAAGGGGAGAGGTGTGATGTGCCCAGGATTATCCAGCTAGCAAGTGCTCAATTTGATGACATTGGGTTCATGTGTCCCAACTCACCAATTTTACAGATGAGGAAACTGAGGCCCAGAAAGGAAGAATGCCTTACAAAAGTCTATATAGGTCATTAAAGCAGAGCTGGGAATTCAATCAATAGCAAGGGGCTATTTCCACTCTCCTCTGTTAAACGCTCACCACCAGATCCAGACACTCATATGAAACATAGCCACGGACCTTCAAGAACTAACTCAGAAGAACAAGTAAGGGGCCACCCAGATGGACACAAGACTCGCACACACTTCCAAGTATACATGTTCACACTGACACTCCCCGACACTGTGTGGGACCCACTGTCCACTCCCCCACCATCCCAGGCCCCAAGGGTGACACTACTTGTTTTCACTCCCTTCCACCTTGCCCCCCATCCCTGCCATCCCCTCATCCTCCAGAATAGCCAGGGAGCTCCACTCTGGACTTTAAAAGGGCACTGAATTTTTCATTCTTAAATGCTGGGATGCTCTTGTCTTCCAGGTTCACCCAAACCCTTTGGTGGAGATGGATGGGGGCGCAGAACACAGTTATCAGAAAGATTAAGCCGGGACTTGTCATTTTTTTATATCATGGAGCAGTCAGCCCTACGAGTGATGTCCTCCACTCCGCCAGGATGAGTCCAGAACCTTTAGTGCCAGTAGTAAAAAAGACTATAAAAAACACCATCGGAGAAAGGGTAATGATGAAATTTAACTGCTCCCGATCACACACCTGGGGTCTGCTCGCCGCAGAACTGGGGGGTTCGGCCTCATCATCCTTTACTGCCGTGCCCTTGTCTCAGAGTTTAAGGTCCTTCCACTGAACCAGAACATTGTGTCCACTGCTGAGACCCTGGGGCCTGTCTGCACCACCCCACCCTGCCTGGCCAGGAGCGCAGACAGAGGGAGTGAGCAGGGCAGACCCAAGCCCAGGCGGGCTCTGTTGGCCTGGCAAGGGAGTCCTGCGGAGCCACTGGGTTACGCAGGAGCTTCAGCCATGGCTGCTATTGAAAACTGGTGTAAGGCTAGACTATGGTTAGTTCAAATTTTATTTCCTTCTTTTCTTCTTCCACCCTCCCTCCTCCTCCATCTCACTTTTATGTACCAGGTACTGTGTTATGGACATAGTGGCTACCAGGGTCTTCCACTGCCCTTATTACATAGCACTCTGCTTACATAATTTCTAGCAACCCACTCACCCCTCCCTCTTGCCTCACAACCCCATACCACACTGCCCCTTTGTCTCTCTTAAAGCTCTCTTCTTGCCATATTGAAATCCTTCAAAATACTTGCTCTCTCCAACCTCTGGGCTTTCACATGTGCTGTTTCCTCTGGCTGGAACACTCTGGCTAACTCTAACTCATCAGTATATCTCAACTGTAGCTTCCTCCAGGAAGCCCTCCCTGCCATTCTCCAGATCCGTGTTAGGCTTTCTTGCTAAGAGCTCTCTTGGCTCCCTGCACTTCCTCTTCAAGATATGTATCCTCATGGTGCATTGTCATTATTTGTTTAATTATAAGGTCTGTGAAGGCCTTTGTTGAGGGTACTATTCTGGGTCTGGGGATTTAATGGTGAACAAAAACAAACAAAATCCCTGGCCTTCATGAAGCTCACGTTCCAGTGCAGGAGGATACAACAGGACTCTCTATTGTTCAGCCTTCATGGACATGTCACTAAACGTGTGGTTGAGTTTATGCCTCAAAAGGTGCTGAGAGGTAGATAGTATTATCCTGACTATAGCCAAGAGCCCTCAGGTCATCCAGTTAGGGAACCCCAGGACCAAGGCTTAAACCCAGGTCTGATGGCCACCTGAGTTGCAAGATCTCCACAACCTGCTTCCTCCTTGCTCATTCTGCTCAGGCCTTGCCAGCCTATTGCTAGTTCTTAACATGCCAGGCATACCCTTGCCTCTGAGCCATCACAAATGTTGTTCCCTTCTGCCTGGAATGCTCTTCCTGCTGATAACCTTAAGTTCATCCCCTCACCTCCTTCAAGTCTTTGCTCAGATGTCATTTTCTCAATAAAGTCTTCCCAGATACAACTGCACACATGCGTGTGCATGTGTGCGTGCGCGCGCGCGCACACACACACACATACACTCCTATGCCCCACCCCCATACTCTACATTTTACCTATGGTGTCTCCCCTTTACTAGAGTGTTAGTTCCCTAAGGGTAGGGATTTTGCCAATTGTGTTTACTGTCACAGCTCCAGTGCCTATAATAGGTGCTCAGTAAATATTTGCTAGATTGATGGATGGGTGGATGGGCTGATGGATACAAGACATGCAGAGCAGAATAAGGCTGGATGCCTGCCCTGAAAAGCCTCAAAGTCCAGCCATGGAAGAGAGACTTTGTCATCTGGGTGGGAGGCATGTTCTAAGAGAGGTGTGGACAGAGAAAGCAACACTCCCAGTACCTGTCCCCTCCCCACCTCCAGACACAGCCCTCTCACGAGACCCACCCTTTCTCTGAACATGGAGGCTGTTGGTCTGTGGGCAGGGAGTGCCTCAACAGGCCCCAGGGAGGGTGAGCTGGGAGGGGGCTGTGTGAGCTGGACCCCAGCACAGTCTCCCATCAGTTCTGGAGCATCTCTAGGGAGAGAAAGGGCCACGAAAGCACAGGGTAGGGAGACCCCACCCCAGCCCTCTGATGGCAGCAGCTCTTGCAACCAGAGGCCACAAAGGGTCATCCCCCCAGGAGCCAGAAGGCTCACGGCCAGCCCAAGAGCTCACCCCTGACCCACCAAGGTCCCTTGAGCAAGTCACCTTCCTTTTCTGAGCCCCAGTGTTTCCTCTCCTAGAAGATGAGACGTTTTTATTGTTTTTATTGAAGTATCATGTACATACAAAAAAGTACACACATAATATTCAAGGATTTTTTGACTAAGTAAACATGTTCATATAACCAGCACCCTGATCAGGAAATAAAACTTTACTAGCCCCCCAGAGGTCCCCTTGGGGCTCTTCTCTGTTCTGGTCTCCCCCAAAGGTAAAGATTCTCCTGATTTTTAACACTGTAGGTATTTTTTTTAACCTTAAGGGTCCCCTTTCAACCTCTACAAAATACTCTTTTGATTTCAAAAGTATCTGTGGTAGCCAGCCTCCAAGATAACCCCCAGCGGTGCTTGTCTGCTGGTATTCACACTCTTATGTAGTCCCCTCCCACATCGAATCAGGGTGGTCTTTGCAACCAATACAGTACAGTAGAGGTGACAGTATATGGCTTCTGAGACTAGGTCATAAAGGACATTGTGGCTTCTGCCTTGCTCCATTGGATCATAGCTCAGAGGAAGCTAGCTGCCGTGCTGTGAGCCATCTTGTGGAGAGCTCCATGTGGAAAGGAACCGAGGCCTCCCACCCGCAACCAGCACCAACATGCCAACAATGTGAGTGCGCCATCTTGGAAACAGGTCTTCCAACTCCAGTTAAGCCTTCAGATGGCTACAGGCAAGACCAACATATGATTGTAGCTTCATGAGAGACCCTAAACCAGAACTGCTCCCCAAGCCACTCCTGAATTCTTGACCCACAGAAACTGTGAAAGATACTAGAAGCTTGTTATATTTTAAGCTACTAATTTGGGGAGGGGGGAAATTTGTAGACAGCAATAGACAAGTAATGCAGTATTCATTAAGCGAATATCCAGTAAGCCAAACCTCCTAGGCTTTCAGTAACCCTTTGCAAGAATCCTTTTAAAAATTATCTCCACTATATCTACTCACACTTGGAAAAAGGGCCTTCATTGTCATGCACGACACAGACTTGATTTAGGCTAAGGACTGTCATGACTTCAAGGTCCCTCCATGGCCTGGGCCCCTAGGACTGGAGAGCTATTGCTAACTCTCTTGGTTTCCACAGCTCTTATCCTACTAAAATTCTAGAATCAGAGACTTTCAGATCTTTGGGGTCAAGCAGGCCTGTGTGTTCCTGGCTGCTCTTCTAAAATCCTGTGTGACCTCAAACAAGTAGCTGTACTTCTCTGAATCCCAGTGTCCCTCATCAGAAAACTCGAACACCAGATGCCTTGCTTATGGCTTGTTGCATAAAGTAGAAATCATACGTGCCTCATAATTGCCATACTGGAAACACTCGAGAGACACAGCTGGCCTTAGTAATGGTCAAACCACAGCAGGCAGCAGGCACTCCTTGGGGTATCAGGGAGGGGTGCTCCTCTCCCCTCTCACAGAGGCTGAGACGTGGCCCTATGGGGCTGCCCCACATGCTGCTGCACATCCTTGGCACATCTGCACCCCGACCGGTGAGTTTGAAGGGCCAGGTGAGCATACGGCCTCATAACAGAACTTGGCTGGAGACGGGTCTGCTTCCTCTTCCTCGTTAGTGTCGCCCAGGGGCCTGCGCCCTCCTTAGCAGAGGCCTGGGTAACGAAGGCCACAGCCTATTAATTGCGGTGACAGTGATAAAGGAAGGAGGGAGGCCGCTATTTGTCTTGCCCGTAACCTCTCGCATCATTCCAAGATGAATGAAAACTCATTTTCTGCTTTGATTCAGTCTAATTTCTCTGGGCCCCCTGGGCCTCATCGGTGGAAGGGACTCACAGCCCCTGCTGAGAAGGAATTGAGAAGCAGAGGAGGAGAGGTCAGATGTCACGAGGGAGGAAGACAGGCTCTGCTAGGGAACCGAGAGCTTGTCGGGGGCAGTGGTTGGAGCATTCATTCATTAAGCATGGGCTAGGTGATTGGATTCACTAACCAATCCCGTGGAGGAGGGAATCTGCTACCCATTGCATGGGTGGGGCAGGTGGTGGCAGAGAGAATGTGGAATGTGGCTTGCACAAGGTCACAAGGCTATGAAGGCCACAGCAGGGCTTCAGCGGGGAAGGCCAGTCCAGAACTGTCAGCTCCGGTCACTCACCACGGTGTCTCCCACCTGGATGAATGACTTCAATCATCATAGAAGCCCCTTGGAGGGTAGATGGCTATCCATGTTGGGGAGCCACCACCTGACCTGTCCATTTCCCCCAGGGGACAAGGAAAGGACAGGTAGGGAAAGGGACGGAGGGTGGACTTTTTTCTCCATCAAGGAGCAAAGACTGGATAAGAGCCTTGTGGGGATAGCCATTTTCTCTTTTGGAAGACGGAGGGAACAGTGCCTCCTGGGACCATAGACTGGCTGGAGGACGGTGACGAGCATGTGTGGGAAGGTGCCACACAGCTAGTAGTAATTCTCTGTGAAAAGGCAGAGGGAGTCAGGAGCCCCCAGCAGTCTGAGCTGTGTTATCCTAGACTGGTTAACCTGCCTGTGACTCCCTGCACCTGCCCTCCCTGGTCACTCACTGGATCCCCAGGGTCCCCTCTGATGATCCCGAGGTTCTGTGAGGCCCTCTTACCTGTCTGCTAAGATGTCCTGGCGGCCCCAGAGAGCTGCATGGGCTTTGAAGGAGGTGGAAGGCACCCTCTGGACTGGTTCACAGTAGAAACTCAGCAAAGTGTGTTGAATGCACTTCATACAATATCCTTCCAGGACTTTGGGACCGAAGGTGGAAGCGTTGAAATTGGGAGGGAGTTTTAGGCCACATGATACATGAGTACCAATGTAGGCTCTGCAGTCAAAAGGTCTGATGTGAATACCGGCTCTGTCACTGATTGCTGTGTGATCCTAGGCAAGTTGCTTTGCCTCTCTGGACCTCATTTCCCTTATCTATAAAATGTAATATCTATATAATATTACATATGATTATCAGCTAGCTTATGTAAAGTCAGAGCCTGGGTGTGCTCCCAGTGGCAGTAGCCAGAAAAGGCTGGTTTGGGGTCAGGATGTATGTGAGAAGTGAAGCAGCTGACTCCACCTGTGCCCCAGATCTGAAATACAAATAGCCTTCCCTACCCTCCCGCTGCAGCTCCAGCTAGAACTGAGGGAGAGGAGTCCAGACAAGATGCATTCCTGCCTCTGTAGAATGACTGCAGCCTGGCTTTGTCTCAAAGGGTCTGCAGGCGGAGCCCTCAGACGAACGTCCCTTCCCAGCAGTCTGGGAAAAAGGAAGCAAGACCCAGTGAAAACCACTACCTAGCCTGGCATTCAAGGCCTTCACAGCTTGGTCCCACCTACTCTCTCTGCTCCTACCCCCTCCCACCCCCATCCCAGTCTTACCCACTACCCAATGAGGTGTATGCTATTGATCATCTCTTTCTACAGATAGAAGGACAGAGACTCAGAGAGGCTCATAGTTGGGATGCGCAACCAAGTCTTGCTCATTCCAGAGCCCAGCTCTTAACAATTACCCTGCAAAATATATAGGAAAAATGAAGTCAGAGAGTCAGGAACTGTAAAGAAGGTGTAAAAGGAGCGTCTATAGAAAGTCATTCATTTGCTGATATTTACCAAGCACCTACTAGGTGCTAGGCACTCAGAGATCATGATGATGATGAGAGTAACATCGGTGATAATAACAATGTTAATGACAGTAGTAATGTGAAAACAATTGCTAACGTTTCCTGAGCTCCTACTATGTACTTGATACTGAGCTCTAGTTCTTACAGTAGCCCTTATGCAGTTACCATTATTGTGACCTATTATAGATGAGTCAGCTGAGGCTCAGAGAGGCCAAATATCGAAGGTCACCGATTTCATGCACCCGAGCGAGAATTTGAACCCTGGCCTGACTTTGAATAGCCATAATGATGGTGATAACTGTCTAGCATGTGTTGGGTATATTTTATGTACCAAATGGTTTGCTAATCACTCAAAATAACATAAGCTTGAGGAGCAGTGACAAATTGTAGACTCATTAGGTTGATCATTCATCTGTTTCCAAGCTTGCTGGGAGCTGCCTGCAGGGTTAGTCGGACCTGGGTTCAAATCCTGATCCCACCACTGTCTTTGGGACTTGGACGTGTTACCAAGTCCTTATCTTGGGATAAGGGAATGGGAAAATACTACCCAAATCACGGTCCAGATGGAACATACCTTATTGGGTAGGATTTATTTTTTCTTCCACTAAATTGTGGGTGGGGACATGGCAGAGACACTTGAGGTTTCAGGTACAGGGAGAATCTGAGACCTAAGAGAAGCAGGAGAGGGGAATGGAGGGAAGAGAAGGGAAAGAGACACACCAGGAAGGATAGGAAATTGAGGTGAGATAGAAGAAAAAAAAACAGAACCTAAAGATTGAGACAGTAAGGGACACAACAGAGATACAAAGATGGAGATGAAACAGAAAGAATGAGAAAGAGGGAGAATGATCCAGAAGCCAGGAAGATGCCGCCACAGAGAAACTGGGTCAGAAAGGAAGGGTCCCTCAAGCAGCTGGGCAAGGACAGAGACAAAGCTAACCCCCGTCAGCCCCCAGCTGAGCAGGGCTTTCAGCCTAGCTCTGCTGCTGAGCACGAAAAGCCTCTTCTCCCACATTCGAATGAATTTGATATTCAATCAATGAAGATTAACTCGCCCAAGGTAAGGGGGTTTTTACATCCGTAAGGAAGTCAAATACGATTATGCAGATGAGAAAATTATCCTGAGATGAAGAGCGGCTCATATATGATAATTCTGTGCAAGGGGGACTCCCATGCTGATTAGCATATCTTCAAGACCAGACTGAGATGGAGGAGGCGAGGACCCAGAGATGGGCACTTGGGGATGGGCTGACCACTGGGAGAAGTTGGCCCAAGATACTTGCTCCCTGATCACCTTTTTTGGAAAAGAGGTTTTGTCAGTAAGGCTTTGGCCAGTGAAGACCTTAATGAGAGCCTTGATCCTGCTGTGTCCATTGTGACTCCCTGGACCTTGGGCTCTTCTCTCAAACGAGAGTGCCCCAGAGCAGGGCTTCTCAAACTTCAAGGTGAGTACAAATCACCTGGAGATCCTCTGAAGATGCATATTCTGATTCAGTGGGTGTGGGGTGAGGGTCTGCATTCGTAACAAGCTCCCAGGTGATGTTCCCACATGAAAGAGATGTGGAGGGATAGAAGATGGAGTGAGTAACCAGAGTGGGAAGGGATGAAGGATATTGCCCTCGGACTACTGGGGACACTTGATGGTAACTGCTGAAAACAGTGCTTATTATATCTAAGCTATTTATATATGGGTGAAAAAAATATATACATATATTCTTAAGGGCCCTTAAGTGGAGATACTATCATTTCCATTTGAAGTTACAAAGATAGGAAGTTAGGTTCAGAGGCAAAATGATTTGCCCAATTTGAGTCAGGATTCAAACACAGCTTGGTCTGACCCTCCAAAGCCCAAGCTTTCCATCTAGCTATTGCCTCCCACCCCCTGGGTGACCTCACCCAAAAAAGTTAATGGCTGGACCCTGGGTCCTAATGCATGATGGAGCCAGGGAGTCCCTTCCTACCTGCCATGTCTGAACTAGGCTGACCTCACATGGTGGAGACGAGTGAGCAAGGGCTTGGAAGCCAGATGGCCCTGGGTTCAGACCCTATTTCATTAACTCTGTGATCTTGGGCAAATCATACTCCTTCTCTGAGTGTCAGAGAGGTTCCTCCTTGGCCAAACAGGGAGGATAAGACCAACTTCCAGTGTCGCCAAGAGAAGGAGATGAGGTCGGGTAACATGTGCATGGCCTGCAGTTCAGATGTAACAGTAAATTTTCCCCTTATAAGGGGATGGAGCCTGGCTGAGCCAAGGCTCAAAGATTCTAGAACTCTTTCCTCCCACCTTCATGAGCCCAGAGCCCAAGCTCCTCTTCAATTTTGTTGGTGTGATATCAATGCCAACATTAACCCAGTACTTCCCAAATAATGTGTCAGGGCCTGACCCAAGACTGTTTGGGTCAAGTGTAGGCTTACAAGCCTCTGCCGCAGGACCTCTTCTGCCCTCCCCAAGAAACTTGGGATGTGGCCCTCAGTACCACTCTCACAGCGTGTGCCCCCTTACCTGTTGGTGAGCATGGATGGGGCCCTTGTATTTCCCTCTGTAAAGAGAGGCAGTGGGCCTGAGCCATCTCCAAGGAATCTTCCAGCACTAGCAGGCTTCCTTTGCTCTCCCAGGAATTTGCCCTACACGGGGGGGGGGGGGGGGGTGCAAATGGGGCTGAAACCCAGCCCCTGATCTACTCACCAAGCAGAAATGAGGGGTGCCCCAGTCCTCACCCTACTCACCCTATCCATGTCTCTATTTCCACATAGCTTCTCAGGATCTCCCCTGCCCAGCCAGGGCCAGCAAGGACAGGTGTGGGGAGAGACAGAAAGAAAGGAGAGGAAAAGGGGTCTACAGTGATAGAAGCTGGAAGCCACCTGCTGTGTTCATGCTCCCGTGTCTCTGGAATGCGCTTCTCTGTTTATGTGCCTGCGAGTCTATATTGTCTCTCTCTCTCCTGTCCATGTGTGTCGGGTACTTGTCTGGGCATCTATGTATGTGTGTTAGCGTATCCCTGTGACTTTGTGCCTGTGTGTGTTGTAGATTTCTGTATGTCTCTTGCTCTGTGTCTGCCTACCTGTCTTTGATGTATGGATCTGGATATGTGAATCTGGAGGTGTCCTTGTGTACACATGTTTCTGAATGGGAGTGTAGAGTGTATGTATATGTGCATGTGTTTGTGGGTTTGAATGAGCGTGTATCAGTATGTATGGGTGTGAGTGTGTGTCTGCATGGGTGCATATTAGTTGGGGGTGAAGATCTGAATGTGTGTCCAGGTGGGTGTGTATTAGTGTGGAGGAAGACTATTTGGGGTGAAGACATTTGGGGCGTGTATGTACATCTGTGTGTGCATCTGTTTGGATGTGTATCAAGGTGTATGAGTGTAGGGATATGAGTGCATATCAGCATGGATGGTTATAGTATCTGTGTGTGTCTGGGCAGGTATGTACTAGTGTGTGGGAGGGTATGAATATGTGACTGTGTTTCTGGGTGAACTTAATAGCTTGGAGGGTGAGTATGTGCATGCCACCAAGTGTATCTGCTTATCAGTTTATGTGGTGTAGTGTATAAGAGTGTGGGAGGAGAGGCCTGGGTGGGTTGTAGCAGTGTGTGGGGGATATACATCCTATGTGAGACTGAGTGAGTATATAGTAGTCTGTATATTTGTGTGTGTATCTGTGTAGGTGTATCAGTATTTGTGGGGTGTGTGGTTCTCTGTGTGGATCTAACGGATGTGTTTCAGTATGTGGGGACTGTGATTATCTGTATATCTGTGCACACTGTGAGAGTGTCTGCTTCTCAGCATCTGGAATGTAGGGGGTGTGTATCTTTGTGTCTGAGCAGGGTGTATGAGTGTGTGTGAGTGTGAGTATCTGTGTGTGTGTGGGGGGAGTGTCTGTGTGCATGTCTATATATCTGTGTATCTGTGTGGGGCTGCACCTCTCCAGCTTGGCTGGGTCCAGGCACTGTAAATCCATCAACTCCACATGATTTTGTCAATTCTGACAGCTAACTTCAACATGACGACAAATCTGGCCCCAGAGGATATTAAGCAAAGACACATGAGCCTATAATTTTCTGCTTCCACGTGTGAGATGCTATAATAATCAAAAGAAAATGAGTTTCTAACTACCCCAGCTCTTTGTGCTGTTGCCTTCATGCCGGCTGCACTAATTGAATCACCCGGCACCACTGTATCAATGGTAACTTGGGTATTGGGGGGTAATCAGGCGTGTGGGGGGGACCAGCTTGGAGAGGTGTGGGGCTTTTGTGAAGGTCCCATCTGCCTCATGCACCAAAGCCACCCGCCGCCCGCCTGCATTTGGCTGGACAAACGAGCGACCGAAGGGCAGCCCCTCACCCAAGGGAGGGCCTGGAGGAGGGGGCACCTGTACCCAGATGCTGTGGCTCAGGCCCCTTGGTCCCAGGAGGAGAACTGTGTGAAAATAATAAAGATCCAGACTTTGGAAATGGGCCTACCTGGGTTCACTCCCGGCTGAAGTCCCTTTTATGTCATTTGACCTCTGAGGCTTGGTTTCCTCATGTAGAAAATGGGGAGTGTGTAGACAACCCTGTCTCCCTCACAGGGGCATTGTGAGAAGTGAGAACACACGGATTAAGCTCTCCTAGTTGCCTCAAAGAGAGGAGGCACTTGGAAGTTGCCATTACCAAATGTTTACAGTGCTTTCCTGTGTCTTAGCTGGCTGCCTCATCACTGTGTGAGCTAGGGCTCCGTATCCCATTCGATATCTGAAGAAACAGGCTCAGAGGGGTTAAATAACTCAGCCACCTGTGACACAGCTTTCTCTAAATACAGTTATGTGTGGTGATTTGAAGCAGGACGTGTGTGTGTGTGTGTGTGTGTGTGTGTGTGTGTTTTCAAAGAGAGAGGAGGAACCATTTCTGGTGGCTTCTGGAGGTCCTCCCTCCAACAATCCTGTGACTCAATAAAAATAATAGTTGCTCACCCTTGTATAGCACTTACCAAGGGCATTTACTGTGTATTAACTCATGTAACCCTCACACTGAGTTTATGAGGTACAAACACAATTATCTGTTTCACAGATGAAACTAAAGCACAGAGAGGCTGAGTAACTTGCCCAAGGTCACTTGGCTGGCAGGTGGTGAAATTGGGCTTCAAGCCTAGGAAGTCTGTCTCCACAGCCTTCATTTTTGTCTACCACCTGTTCTTCAAAGATCCAGTGGAACACCCACACCCTCACCGTCTTCTGTACTGAGTCCGTCATTTATCTCCTAGAAATATCCTCTCTGCTCACCTGATGGACCATTCCCCTTGAAGTGAGCCTCTGGAGAGGAGTTGACTCCATTGTGCACCCCCAATCAAGGTGAGAGATCACCCCCATGTTGCTCTCTACTTGTGCCTCACTTCCAATCAGACAGCAAATTTCCATCAAGCAGCTGCTCTGTTCCCTGGGCAGGGAACTGAGGGCTACAAAGAGGAAATTATAATTCCACATATTTGTACAGCACTTTACTAGTGTTTGCAAAGCTTAGAGCAGTGGAAAGAGCACAAGCTTTGGAGCCTGGGAGATCTGGGTTCTGATTCTGGCACTGTCCCTGACTGCCTGGGGGTCCTTGGGCTTGTTACTGAACATCTGCGACTTGATTGTCTCAACTACAAAATGGGAACAGTTTCCCCCTAATATCAGGAACAAGCCAAGAAGATCTGTTCTTATCACTTCTATCCCACACTGTACTGGAGATCCTGGCCAGTGCAATAGGACAAGAAGAAATAAAAGACATGCAGATTGAAAAGGAAAAAGAAAAACCATCTTTATTCACAGACATGATCATCTTCACAGAAAACCCAAAGAATCAACCCTCTCCCACAAAAAAATTAAATTAAATTTTAAAAAATTAAAAAAGCTACTAGAACTAATAACTGTAGTAAAGCTGATGGATACAGGTCAATTCACAAAAATGAATTGTATTTCTACATGCTAACAATAAACAATTGGAAACAAATTAAAATGGGGACATCAGGCCCCCCTCACAAGATTGTTGAAAGGAATAAAATGAGGTAATTTTTATCTAGGAGTATCTAGCTTACCTACTTCCTGATAGCTTCCTTGAGAGGGGAGAAAGAAAGAGTCTGGTAGAGAATCACACCCAACAGCCGTCCCCTCCTGTCTGTGCCAAAACCGCTGGGAGAGAGTATTTCTGATATGTCCTCAGTAGATGTGCCAATTGTAATCTTAGGGCTTTATAAACTACAAATTCGGGGAGCAGGGGCTGGGGAGGTGGCTCATCAAAATCTGGGGACTCCCTGGGAAACACGTCGCTGTGAGCACATGAACATTGTGCATCACATGGGCTGCCCAGAGAAGGGACTGAGAGTCACAGCCTGTATGCATTGTCCCTCCCTCCCTCCACCTACCCTTCTCATCTTTCTATCATTCCACACTTGTGCTGAGCCTGCCCCAGAGTGTACAATGCAATCGAAATAAATCTTAGGTCTGTCTCAGCCCAGGTCCCAGCCAAAAGAAACCCTAAGAGCTCCAAAAAGTACTGATTTGTAATGAAGCCTTTACAGAACTCTCTTGGACAAGCAGCAAAGTGGGGAAGGAAATTACATAGCACAGCAGACAGCAAACTATCTCAAAATCAGGGCGCCTGGCTGGCTCAGTCAGAGGAGTGTATGGCTCTTAATCTCAGGGTTGTGAGTTCGAGCCCCACATTGGGTGCAGAAATTACTTAAAAATAAAATCTTAAAAAAAACAATTCTCTCCAAATCATCTTTAGTCTTGTATTTCCCTGAAGTCTAATAGGCCACTACCCTCTCAACAGCCCTTTTCCCCTTCCCCTTTGTCTCTCCTAAAACTCCGGCTCTGCTTCCTCTTGCCGCCACCACTTGCCAACTGGATCAATTCTATTCGGATCCGGCTTTGGCCACTGATGGCTTTAAGCTCTGTTTGGGTGGGAGGATTCTTCACCTCCACATCTGACTCTGTCCCCTGATCAGCTCAAGGATGAATGGGCATTCATTTGATGGGAGGATGGAGAGAAAGGGGAAAGGAACGGGCAGTTATGCTTCGCCTCCTGGTACTTTATCTTCTTTATCACCGGCTGACCCCCAGTAGCCTTGTGAGGCAAGTACACATGAATAGTCCGATTTTACTGATTTGGAGATTGAGGCCCACGAAGAAATTCACCTTGTCAAAGTCACCCAGATAGTAATCAGCATAGGTAGGATTGAACTCTGGTCTGTATGGCTTCACAACCTTTATGATTGGCAGGTGGAGGGAGAGGAGGAGAAGTTCAAATAGCCCCTGCGTGGAGGGAAGGTAAGGGTGGAAAAAGACACTGATCACTGAGGCATAGTAAATGGAGACAGCAACATGCAGATCGGCAGGTATCACCATTTGTGGAAAAGTCAGGAAAGACTACATGTGTTTGCTTATTTTTGCAGAACAGATACCTGAGAATACCTGAGCATCTGGGGATGTTGGGTTTGCCCTTGGGATGGAAATTTGGTGCTGTGGGAGCCCCAGAGGATCCATGCAAGCGTGAGAGGGACCCATTTATGCTTTTTGGAATTTGAATCATGTGAATATGTCAGCTATTCAAAACATAAGTTGTTCTTAGAAGAAACAAATAAGTAAAAGAATAAAACATTATGCATTAACATTAAATTTCAAAATGAAACAGTGCCCAGACATTGCCGTGCACTTGAGGAGCACGCAGTGGGTCGCTTCTGGCTTTGGCCCTTCTAGAAAAGAGATGCGTGTTGGGGATCAGGGAAGAGAGCCCCCTGTGAGTCTGAAGCAGTAGTAAGGCCTTCTCAGCTCGCTGGTGCCCCTGGACGCTCCCTCTCCAGTCTGATGGGTGAGGGGCTGGCAGAGGAGGGGGGGTTTGCAGAGAGAGTCGGAGATGGGACAGGACATTTGGGCAGTTGGGGCCGATTTGTCGCCATTTTCACGGGCAGACTTGGGAATTAAGTGGCATGAAATTGAGCACAGACCAGGTTCCCCCCAGAGACAGGGCAGCCCTCGCCCAGGAGGGGAGAATGCTGAGGGGGCGGGGTGGGAGGGGTGGCCTGTGCCACGCTCCGCTGCTTCTGGGTGCAGATGGAGGGAGAATGGAAGGGGGCTGAGCCAGCTCCTCCTCCCCAACCCCTCCCCACCCTCTTCTCTCCTCACACAAGCAGAGGGTCTGCCAGACCCCAGCATCAGGCTGAGCCTGGGCTGGCTCCCTTGTGTCCCAGGACTCCAGGGAGTCAAGGTTGGGGGTGGCGACCAGACCAGAGCCCGATTCAGTGGGTCTTTCAGACCCATGTGCTTATCCCAGCATCCCTACCGCCATTTTTGCTCAGTGCCCAGGAATGGGGCCTAAGGGGAGATAAAGGATCTACCCCCGCTTCTTCTTTACTTATTTCTGACTGGGACAAAGGACCAAATGGGAGCCTGGGCTCCAGTTTGAGTTCTAATAGTGTGGCCTTGAGTAAGTCACTTATCCTTTTCTGAGCTTCCATCTCCTTTTCTGTAAAATAATAGTAATGCCCAGCATATATATGTGATGCTGGCCATGTGCCTGGCACTGTTCTAAGTGTCTTGTATACTGTGTGCTGACTCATTTGATCTCAGAAATACCTTATCAGCAGTACCGTTATCAATTGCACTCTCATTGTACAGATGAGAAAACAGATCATCCGACCAGTGAAGGATGAATATGGGATTTGCTGTTTACCATTCTCAGGGAGTCAAGAGGAAGCTTAAATGAGATGGTGAACATTTATAGTACAACACATGGTCCGTGTGTAACCCATGTTAGCTGCTGTCATCCCTTTAGCGGGAAACAGGATTCTAGAATGCAGATCATCAGGACTGTAAAAAATGGCCCAGATCGCCTTATCTGCACTCTCATGGATTTGACACACGGAAATCAAACTCCCAGGAAAGGAAAGTGACTTGCACAAGGTCACACACCAGGAGGGGACTAGGCTAGGACTGAAGGAATCAGTGACTCAAGCCCTCACTCTTCAGGATCCTGAGGACAGCCTCAGGCTTTGGGGAGAGCAGCCAACTTTCCCTTCCCATGAGGAGAGGCATCAACCTGGAAATCTCAATCCCCGTGGGCCCTGTGGGCTCCGAGTACCCACTCCCCAGGTGGAGTGAGACCTGGCCCCAGCCCCAGTGGGAGTAAGGGGACTAGACGACCTCGGTCTGCCAACCTGGGCACCTCCCCCCGGGCAGAGCTTTGCCCTACAATTAGGAAGGCTGTGTTTGCCTCAGCGCCAGGCCCAAAAAGCTCATGAAAGCCATGAGGAGCCCCACAGGTGGCCAGGGGGAAGACAGGCCCCATGGTGCTTAATAGGACCTAATCTCTGCCAGTGTTGTTGGAAATGAAAACGAAAAACAGCCGCGATTTTGTGGTTTAAAAATTAGCATGTGTGCCTACATCGTAAGCCCCTGGCCTGCATTACCATACAGATTTATCCCAGGCCCAGCACGCAGCCAAAATATGTAATTACACACAGGCTTGGGGTGGAAAAGTTGCTCTCCTCTTCGCTATCTATAGAATATGGATTTTTTTTAAATGAGGGAGAGATCTAGTATTTTGTGAGGGCCTTACTTCATGAGGGACAACGCCGGTGGTGGATTTGGGGAAAGGGAGGGTCTCAGCCATATCAGCTGTTTGGGGATTGGGGGATGGACATGGATGTGTGAACTTAAGAGCCATTTCCCTGGGCTGAGGGGGAAGGAGAGGAGGAAAAGGAAAGCCTTGGTATGAAGTACTACCATCTCCATGCTCCAGATCCCCATTCAGTGCTCACATCAACATTCTCACCTTTAATCTGCACAGGAAACCTGAAAGGTCAGTGTCCTTATCCCCACTTGAAAGATGAGGAAACTGAGGCGAGTATTGGGTGAAGTCCAGGATTCCAACTAATGACTCCAGAGTCTGTGCTCTTTCCAATATGCTACATATGGTCCCCAACTTCATTAGGCTCTCTTCACCTGACTGATGATCACTGAACTGAACTGAAGTAATTGCAGAAGAATAGGGTGGTGGATGCAGGAAGGTGGGTCGATTTTCAGCCATGAATACTGAAAGGGAGTTGGGGGTCTTCACATGGGGACTGACGGAAGAGAAAGAAAAACAGAAATCCTAACCCATTAGCACAAAAACTGACACACAGTAGATGTAACAAATGAATGATTGATAGAATGGATGGACCCTGAAATAGAAAGCAGTATCTTTATTCAGGGTTGGGTGGTGGAGAATGTCCATACATTGAGAGAGAAGAATAAGTCAACATCCCGATGTGGGATCAATGTCTCAATCCAGAGTTGGATGGGAAAGGAGTCCACATTCCAATGTAGGGATCAATACCCCAGTGAAGGTTTGGTTGATCCGTGTAATCTGGTAATCAGTGTCCCATGTGGGAATCAATGTCCCAATAGAGTCAGTTGAGAGGAATCAATGTCCCAAAATACGAATGGGGAAGGGAATCAACATCCCAGTGTAGAGATCAATGCCCCAATTCAGAGTTGGTTAAAGGGAATCAATGTCCCAGTATCAGGATCAATGGGAGGCAATGATATACAATAATGGGTGTGACAGTCAGTGCCCCAATGTGAGATCAATGATAGCCAAAGTTCCACTATCAGAATGGATGGGATTGGTGTCCCAATGTACACACCAGCTTACCAATATGGAGAATGGTAGGGTACCTATCCATGCCCTCTAGGCTTCCCTAGGTGGCTTTTACTTCTCTTATTTGATCTAAAGTTACAGTTCCCAGACTCTCTTGCCCTTTCAACCCCCTGGCTAAGTCCTCCACTGCAAAAAAGTGTGAGATGAGGTCAGTGTTCTGCCTGTCCCATGGCCCAGTCCTGGTTATCCACAGCAGTTTTCCTTAGAGGACTCCTGTTTCCCATCCTGTCTCTGGGGTATTCCACCCCAGAAGAGGCCACTTACTTTCTGGACACTATTTCCCACAGGGAGACCAGGCCTCAGGAGCCCCCCAGGGCCGAGCCCAAACCTGTAGCAGGTGCAATACAGTCACAACCTGTTGGTTCTTGTCTGATTGGTCAGATACATGTCTAAAAACCAGTTATTCATGTTATTTAACATTGTATCTGTCATTTGAATGATTGCTTCCCCCGTTTTACAGATGAGAAAAGTGAGGCCACAGAGGAGGGTCTGAATTAGAAGCCTGATTGCCTGCCTGCCGGCTCAGCCCTTTTCCAGCTGCATTAGGTTGACATGACAGAACCCCCCACCCCTGCCGACACCACCACACCCTGACATAGGTGGGTTCTGAGAGCTTATCACACAATTTGGGCAAAGGGGTTGAAAGCATCCCCTGCCCAAACCTTTACTTTCCTGCATCGTCCCCATCATCCTCCAATTCCCAAAAGCTGGCGGGCAGGAGGAAGGCCCCTGTTGCTTTCCAGAGTTGGAGATGGAGCCAGAGGGTGAGATGGGTAAACCCCCATCCTCAGCCGCCGCAGGGGCTAAAGGGGAGGGTGTGATTTTTCTCTCACTCAGACAAAAGCCTGGCCGTGGCATCTGTCGGCCGACTCTTGTGTCTCGCAGCTGCTCAACAGTCAGACCCAAGGCAGGTGCCAGTTTGGGGAGGGAGGGGACATGGACGCAGGCACTCACACCCCACTTCCTCCTCCTCCATATACACCCCTGCACATGCTATGCCTCCTGGCACCCGTCCCATCCTAGTAAGCCCAACCTGTACCTCTAAGACCTTAGCACTTTGGGTACAGGACCCCCATCCCACATGGCCCCAATGCCCACCCCCCCCATTTACTTGTGCTGCCAAGCCTGCTGCTGGCGCCCTTGGGCACCTTTGCCCGGCCAAGGAGGAGCTAGGAGGAGGGAGGGTCTGGCGGGAGATGGGGCCCTTGTGCCTGATGGGATGTCTCTCACTTAAGCTTCCCTTACTGGGGCCAGAGGGCTTCCTGGGACTTCCTAGGAGACTGGGGGCTCCAGTTCTTCAGATGAGGGGGCCCAAGATCACAGAGAGAGGCCGACACTGATGGTCGGGGAGAGAGGCAGAACATGGTGTCTTGTCAGGCTAAGCAAAAAGAGCAGAGAGTGTATGCATCTGCATGTGAAAGAGTTACCCGTGTGAGAACACATTCAGACAAACACGCAGGTGTGTCCATGCACATCTTTGCCCCACACACGTATGCATGCACACACACATAAACACACACACACACACACACACACACACAGAGCCATGTGACAAGTTGGAAGAGTATTTCAAATGCCCAAACACTCAGAATTCCGTGGTCTCCATGTTTTCAAAAACATTTATTTAGGTGTATACTTATTTATTTAAATCGTATTACCACCACTCCCCCTCTGGAAAGAAAAATCTTAAGGCAGCTGAGACTCCTTCATTTAGGCAACTAATTGTAAAATCTATTTTATTGTCCACATATATTTTTTTAATTCTATGGGCAGAGGAGAATGTGATAAGGGCAGTGGGGAAGGGGAGTGCTGAGGGGTTGCCCTATTAAGAAGATGATGCAGGAGGAAAAGAGTGTTTCTGTGAAAGCCACTTGGAGGGGGGGAAATGTATAAATTTTATACAGAGATGCTTGTGGGCCCCTCCCTGGTGCGGTCCTCTTGACCTCTTCCTCCCCGCTCCCAGTCTCCCGGTTGCCTCCCTCTTCTCCTCCCTGCCTGCCCAGGCTTCTCCTTCCCTCCCTCCCCCCCTCCCTTGCAGCCCCCACCCCTCCCCAGGGCCCCCTCCTCAGATGCAATCCCCCTGCTGTAATTTCTGGGGGAATTGCTTCATCTCGGGTGCAGATATATTTGTGTCAAGGTGCAGCTGCACAGATAGCCTTCCTCTATGCATAGTAAGAGGGTTTCAGAGAGAGAGGTTGTGCCCAGAGCAAGGCCTTATCAGAGCAAGCTGCCTGCCATTTATCTGATTCCCCATCAAATAGGAAAACGGGCCTCAGGCTGCTGCTTCCACTTTCCTTGGGAAAGCCATGGGGGGAATAATAATTTACTCCAATCTTTTTGTTTCCAGCGCTCACCTTCAGCCTGACACAGCCCAGGGTCTCTCTACCACCCCCTGCACCCAGCAACACCAGCCTCAGAGTACAGGGTTGGACCCCAGCCCCTAAGGGCCCACCTCAGGACACCCCCCAGAAATGCCCTTGCTGGTTGAATGGACCTTCATAATGGATTGGCACAAGCTGGAGAAGATACCCTTTGGCATCAGGGAGTGTAGACGCAGGGGCGGAGAGGCAGGGACCCAGTGGGGAGTGGGGGAGGCTTGGCCTGGCTGCAGGGGGCCTGGCTCCCTTCCCAGCCCCCACACATATGCAGATCCCCCATGAACACTCACTGTGTGTGTGTGTGTGTGTGTGTGTGTGTACACGTGCATTTGTCAGACTTGACCCTTTGAGCATCCTTGTAGGAGGACCCATCAGTGCCTTCATCTGTGTGTGTCTGTCCATCTGGCTCTCTGTGTCTGTGGTGGAGATGCATGGAAGACCGGGGGCAGTTTCTGTTCTGAGTCACAGACTCTGACCTCCCACCTCGGCTCACAATTCCAATGGCCAAGAACAAGCCCAAGACAGGATGACAGGGACTGTCTGAAAGCGGGTGAGCGGTGAGTGAGGGAGGGGGCCGAGCCGGGCCTGGCAGCAGTCATCTTGCCTCACCCTCCCTAGTGGAGCTTCTCCGGGGGCAGCCGGCAGCCCATCTGGTGCAGGAGATGCAGAGAGGTGGGGGGGGGGGGGCTCTCCCCACAGGCCAGCCATAAATCACAGTTATGTGGCCGGGGGGCAGGGGGAGGGCGGGGGCCAGGGGGCAGCCGTGGCAGCACACGCAGGACGGGGCAGAGAGGCCAGGGTCAGGTGCAGCTGTAAATTGTCACCTAAATGCTTGCAAGCGAAGGCTAATCAGGGTGCTGTGACAGAACACACCTGGCCCTGCCCAGCCCCGGAGGTCATGCTTACATCTGTGCAAGCACATACACACTCACAGATCCAAAACACACCTGGAAATGTTCCACTCCCAGAGCTGTGCACACAAAGGTGTCACACCCATACCTTTGTGACATGAGTCACAAAGACACATGTGCACACCAAACTTACTTCTGCCATGTGTATACATACACACACACAGATACACACACACACACACACACACAGAGGCAGCTCTGCACCCACTCATGTTCATTCGGACCCAAGGACACAAAGATCTAGCTAATACACCTCAACATATGCACACACACACAGGTAGGGATGCAAAGCAGTGGGCAGGTGTACAGCACAGAGAGCAAGCGCAGCTTGGAGGGCAAGACCGTGTCTACCCCCTGTAGGATAGACATAGGAGCGAAAGGAAGTAGACCTGAAGGGCGCCTGGGTGGCGCAGTTGATTGAGCATCTGTTAGGCTTAAACCAGGATCTCACAATTTGTGAGTTCGAGCCCTGCGTCAGACTGTGCTGATAGCTCGGAGCCTGCTTGGCATTCTCTGTCTCCTTCTTTCTTTCTGCCCCTCCCCAACTCATGCTCTGTTTCTCTCTCTCTCAAAAATAAATAAACATTTAAAAAATAATTTTAAAAAAAGAGGTAGACCTGCTTAGTGGAGCCATGCCACCCCCAGCCCCAGAAGCTCCAGTGCCTGGATTCTCTTCGCAGCCTCTCAGCCATCATCCCTGCTTCTAGAAGTTCAACGCTCATCTGTCAAGAGCTCACACCCTTGTCTGACCTCTCCCTGCACCTATGCTGCACCGGCATTTATTAAACACCTACTCTGCATTAGACAAAGCCTACTACGTTAGGCTCTCTCAATAGGATCCCCACCTTCAAACTTAAAACCTAGCCCAGAAGATGGATAAATGGGCAATTACAGCACTCAGGGACTCTTGCTACAAGAGAGGCTAGCCCAGGGCAGTGGGAGCACAGAGTGGGGCATCCAATCCAGTATGGAGAGGGAGAAGGAAGGCTTTCTGTAGCAAGCTCTGGCTTAGCTGGGGCCCGATGACAGGCAGGAGCTGGCTAGGTAGAGAAGTGGAGTGAAAGAAAGGATGGGCCCAACCCCACAAGAGAACGGCAGTGGTAGAGGGTAAGTGCTGAGGGGTCATAATGGGACCTTGACTGTGTGGTGGTGCACCCCATAGGGTGCTCACCTTGGAGCCTTAATGCCAGCAGAGACACCCACTGCACTGCCCCACATGGACCCAGGAGGGAACTAAAAGCTGGACCCAGCCTTCCCAGCAGGTGCTACAATCAACTTGTATACAGGCTGAGGGTGAGAGGGCTCACAAGGAGGACTGAGGGCAGTGCCGGCTAAGCCCAAGGACAAGGACATGGAACCTCTGCTCAGGCCCCCTGGTTCTACTCAGTTTCCTTCTCCACTCTGGAGCCTTTTCATACCTGCTCAGCGTCCCTCTCTGAGTACCACGAAGCCCTTCCTGGGACCAGAAGTGGTGCAGATGGGGGTTTAAAAGCAGGGCTCTGGTTCTTGGTCTAACCAATTATCTGCTTGCCCTATTGGACTTCTGAACAGGACCTCATTTGAACAGAGAACTCTAGGTATGAAAAACGTTAATCCATGAGACAAGGTGCAAAGCCATCTTGGCATTCAGAACCCTCCTCAACTTCTCCCTGCCCAGCCACACTCAAGTGACTCAGCCTCCTGGTTCCCTCCATTTGCCACGTCACTGTACTCCTCCATCCTCGCCAGCCCTTCCCTGAGCTCCAACTCTGTTCTCTCTCCTGTCCAGCCATACTTCAACTCATCATTTTTTATTTTCAAACCTTTCTTGAGTGCTGGCAACATCACAATAGACACATTATCTCGTTTCGTCTCCTTTGTAAAATTCTTCAAGGTGTAGCTTCATTTTACAAGTGAGGAAAGAGAACTTAAACGATCTGCTCAAGGTCACTGTCACCTTGAAAATGCTAAGGAAAGGTCAATCTAGATCCAACCTGAGTCTCCAGGCCCGGGATCCAACCCCCTTTCTTCTCTTCCACTCCACAATGACAGTGGAGCAGGGGCCTTCCGCCCTCATTCTGGCACCAAAGCCACAGTAGTGGCCAGGAGAGTTGAAGGGAGAAGAGGACCCAGGTATCCTTGGAAGCAGAGAGAGGGGCAGGGAGTCCTGGCTGAGGGCCAGAGGGCCCAGGGCAGTCATTGCGGGACAGTGCTTGTGGCTCACATGCTCAGAAGTGGAGGCTATGACCGTTACATCTTCTTCAGGGGTGTTTTATCTCCTCCCTTGATGAGGCAGCCTCCTGAAGTCAGGCATCAGTGCCTCAGGGAGGC